AATTCTCTATAATTCTCTAAAATACTATGCCAGTAGTTATTGCACATTTAAATTTTTCAAAAGTGTTCTTAGACGTAGTAATTTTGTAGCGTCTCTTTATTTTATTTTTTTCATGTAAAGAGTGAACCTAAACATTTAAATTTGTGTATCCTGTACAAGTTTACAGTGTGTACAGTGTACACGGATTATGATGATAAACATTTTTCGAAAATTAATCGCCACTACATCGCATATAATGGATGAAAATTTTGATGTCTGCAATAGTATATCGTTGAAACTTCTTCTATCGAGACTTAATATTATAATCGGTATATTACAAGGTTGTCAGCCAACGCTACCGCGAGTTGATCAAAAAGAGCAAATTTCAGTATTTATTGTATTTCATATTGCATTTATCTTGTAAATAGATAACTATATTAGTCACTATCATATAGGAAGTTTCCTACATAAACTAAACGAATAACATGATTTCGTTTCGTAAACTATGTATATATATATAAAAAAAAATTGGCATCCATTATGAACCAGAACAAACATAGGTAGTACGTGATACACACAATATTTGCGATAAATAAATTAATGAAATGTTAAACAAAAATAATATATGCATATTATTTAATCGTTTATTATTATCCGCGGACCGTACGCAATTATTTTAACGGGCCTAATTTCGATAGTGTGAAATATGAAATCGAAACGTACCAAATGTACATACATTATTAATGTTGCTTGATTAATTATATAGCAGCGAGCTGCCGAATCTGAGGCCGAAACCAATAGGTAAATGTAATGTTTAATACAATACAATAATTAGTTGTGGATTTTAATTGAAAATCCACAACTAATATAAATATAATGCGGATATTTCACGAAAATTAAAAAAATTTAATTTTGAAGATCTATGCAACTGAAAATTGAAAATATACGTCCTAAATTTAGACAATCTTTTAGCGGATTTGCTGACAAATCCCCACACACACTTTAAAAATTATAACAATGCATTTTATGATAGTCATAAAAAAAAAAACCTAAAATTATTACCATTGTCTACAGTGTTCCCATCGTGTATACTACATCAACTACTAATAATTAACTATAATTGAAGTAAATATGCTGGTACAAATGAAAAAATGTCCAAACCATCAAGTAAACCGACTATTTATAATATTAAGAAAAAAATGTTTATTTTTTATTAATATTATTACAACTACACGTTATTTGTAGTAATTAGTAGGCCCACATATTAGCGAGGTACTGATTTACTAGTCTTACCCATTTCAATAACTCGTATATAATTTTAAAACACAATACAATATCTTAAATGACCCACTCAACCATTCGGAGAGCAGTGCATTTGTGTTACTTATCGAGTTAGATGAATGCCACTGCAATGCAAGTTATTTAAATAGTTCGATTGGTTGTATTTTAGATTCGGACCGGAGTGAACCGATTGGTTTTATTATGATGTGTATAATTTTTTTGCCTGTATACAATTATTCGAATAGAAAACTTGCTTCAATGTATCAAGAATATAGTATATTTTTTTAAAGCGATTTTCATTTAGTTGACGCTTTACAACGATCGTTTTTCAGTTTTCCAAGGGGTTTTCAAAATAATTAGGAAAAATGGCAAATATTAACGGCACGTCACTGTGTTACCAATTTTATTGTTTTTAATTTGTACATGCTATGTTTTGCCACCAGAAATATTATTTTTATCAAAAATGCCAAAAACCTTTTTTGTTGTATTTTGGATTTAGTTGCTCATGAAGAATGTATAATTTTTTTTGATTTTCCTTGTAGTTTTATTAATAATTAAGCTAAACCAGAAATATTGGTTTCATTATTTTCAATTAAGGTTTTTTTTCTTGTAGTTCAATTAAAAATATTCGTGAAAATTTAAAAAGTATGACAAAAACTCATAATTACCTTTTCTGAAGATAGTTAAAAAAGGAATTATAAATTTTGCGAATTTTTTTACGTGGTTTTTGATTCGGAACCTAGCGTGGGATTTATTGATTTTACTATAATGTGTTTTCCTTCTATCTTCTAACAATGAACTTTGCTCCGAAACGTTTTTCATTATCAATGATTTATAGTGACTTACAGATATAAATTAAACAACTTTATGTATCCCACATTTCCAAATCCCTACCTAAAACCGCGGCACACCCGTCCCCAGTATCAGTTTCTTATATTATATTGTATAATGTAAACATAATTGTTTGACCAAAAAAAAATGCTTGTAAGTTGATAAGTTATATTTAGTGGTAACTGGTACTTATTTACAAAATAATTGATCACAGATATAAAACAAATAAAACACATCACAGTAAAACTAATATATCGGTATACTAATAGAATCCACTCCACTTACGATGATTAGCATCGTCATAAATTGAATATTATTGAAGTTGATGTTTTGATGACGACCAGAAAAAGAAAATGGCTATAGATAAACGGTTTTATTTTGACCAATTTACAAATATTAAGAAATGTGTATCGAGTATAAAAAATTATCAATCGAACATAATGATTGGACGTTTTTCATAAGAATGTGTTTAAATTTATTTGGTTATAACAACTAGAATTATTTGAATTTCACAAGGGCTTTTGTAAGACATATACATTTTTTTATACTATCAAGTCAAAATGAGATAGACCGTAAGAACCATGAATACTCAAGGTCCTAAGTAGTTTTTTGTGTTACCCCTGTTGTCTAAGTTGTCCAAGTTTTCGACTTGGGCCCTTTTTCATAAAAATCGTTCAATCGATATTTATTAATTAAAAATATGTGCGCAACAATCTAAATGATGATGATTTATGAAGCTAAGTTTCTCTTATTATTATAGTGTCTGTACGGGACTTAACCGTTTCCATCAAAAACATATATTTCCCTTTTCCGCCGATACTTGTTTCCGCCAAATCAAAAAATTGGTGGATTCCCTTTTCCGCCAAATGAAAAAATGTTGTCTAATATTTGAATATTAATGGATGGTTGTATCATAAATTCTTATTATAGAATATATTATATAGTATATTATAAAACAAATTTCAAAATGTTCAAAAAAAAAAAATTTTTACAGGGATGATTAAATTAAATTAAATTAAAAATATAAATGGTGTAACAAATTCGTATTTAAAATAATTATAAGATATTTTTCTTATGAAGTCGTATCTGAAAATTTAAGAGAATAAAAGTAGTTATAAATATTAATATTAAATTAAATTAAATTAAATTAAAATTAATTTTTTGTCCAATTAATAATTGTAATGTAAATAATTGTCCATTAATATTAAAATTTTACACTAAATTTTTTCATTTGGCGAAAAAAGAAATTGACCAATTTTATGATTTGACGGAAACGAGTATTAGCGGAGAAGGGCTTTGTACGTATTTGGCGGAAACCGGCCATACCCGTCTATATGGTCCGGGAGCATATTTTAATAATAATAATATGCGTGCCCGGTTGACAATCAAAATATCCAACAACACTGTTCACCGATCGCCCTGTCGATCTGTTGTGTATATATGTATGTAGTTACTCGGAGAAAGTGGACGGAGTCGCCGAGCAAAACCCTTTGAGTGCTAGTGTGCGGTGGGTGAGTATGTATGTATGCTTGTAGGTGTATAGCTTGAAACTACGGTAAGAAAGGGACAAGTAAAAATAAACGGCAATCAGATTGATGTGCTGGTAATAAATCTTAAGCATAATAAGTACACAAAAATGGTATTACGGACCCCTCTTGGCCCAACAGATGAAATATATGGTATACAAATGAAGGTCGTGGCGATCAGCGCGCATGGAAAAATGTAAAACAATAATAATAACACTTGTGATGATTAATACACACGGATAAATGAAGGTGGAACAATGAAATTCGCGGCGATAATCTCGCACGAATTAATTGCGAGTAAAAATACAATAAATACAATATAACAATTAAATATGGCCTTTCTGGCTCTACAGTATAAATAACGGTGAAAAACTCAGTTACGAAGTGCAGACTGGCCAGCCGCTTAACTAAACTTAAAAATGAAAACGGACTCGCGATCTATCCGGAATCCACAATATGGTTATCGGGAAGGTTAAGGGTATCGGTTTGATGTTATTTTCTCTGCACTATCCGACGTCGTATATCTACGTTTTAAACCGACCGGTTTTTCAAAAATATTATCATTTCCAATAGCCGTGTGTCGGACCATTCGGGACCCGGTGGGAAAAAAAATAACGGCGGTCGTCTAGTGTTATTGGAAGCGATCCGTGCAGGCATTGGTGGCGCTCAGCAAACATTATTATTTGGTCGTAGAAACGTTTCGGACGAATACGATTCGCGGTGTGCAACGTGACTCCGTCAACTCTACACTTTTTGGGTCGTATCTTAATCAGGTAAGACGATAAAAATCTAATATTATTGTCGTTTTAAACGATTTTCGTATGGTTTTGTTCACTCGGTGAAAATTGCTAATGACGTGCACTTTTTTTTGTCTGCTTGTAAATAAAATATTTAAACGGAAAATAACATTATTGTCCCGACATCAAACTCCGTAAGAGATTTCCCGTAGCTTTCGAATCTAATAATATTACTGGTGGTACTTTGTTTTTTTTTTTTTTTTTAGTTAGCAGCCGTGGGGCTAGTTTGTTGCAACTCTCCATTCTTCCCGCTTTTACGCTTTCCTCTTCATGTGTTTGTAGCCTGGGACGTCCACATCCCTCATTATTTGTTGTAAGTAGAGGGGGTCTACCAACTACATTCTTTCCTACTATCATTCCTTCCATAATTCTTTTCAATAGGCTGTTATGTCTTAGTATATGTCCTATTAGTTTGGTTCTTCTTTTCTTCAAACTTTTCATGAAACATCTTCGTTCTTTAGCTTTTGCGAATACTTCATCGTTTGTCATATGTTCTCTCTAGCTTATTCCTTGCATCCTTCTCCAACACCATGCTTCAAAAGCCAATAATCTATTTTCTTCTGCTTTTACGATCGCCCAAGTTTCACTACCATATAATACCACACTCCACGTTAGCATTCTTCTTTTCTAGTTTTTTGAATTTTGATTCACACTTCGCCACCACTAGGTTATGGTCACTTCCAATGTCTGCTCCTGGGTAGCTTTTGCTGTTCTTGACTTGGTTCTTAAATCTATTTTTCACCATTATGTAGTCTATTTGTGCCTTTCTTATATCTCCCGGTGCTTTCCGTGCTTTCCGTCTTTTGTGTTGTTGGAAGTGTGTATTTGTTATAATGAGATCATTTCTTGTGCAAAATTCTATTAGTATTCTGCCTCTATCATTTCTTGTACCAAGTCCAAACTGTCCCACGATGGCTAACTCTTTTCCTTCTCCCACTGTCGCATTCATATCTCCCATCACAATCACATTATCTTCAGCCTTCGTCTAGTCTATTAATTTGTTAATGTCTTCATATATTTTTCGATCTCATCGTCATCAGCATTTGTTGTTGGCATGTAGATTTGGATTATTACAGTGTTGTTTGGTTTAGTATTTATCTTAATAATAATGATTCTATCGCTGTGTTGTACATATCCTAGAAGTCTTAATCCCAATGCTTTTTCAAGTATTATGCCTACTCCTTTCTGTCCAGTGCGCTCACCTTCTTCTGTTTCTGAGTATATTACTCTGTATTCATCACTCCAAAAGTAACCTGTTTCTCTCCATCTCATCTCGGATATTCCCAAAATATCCAGCTTTATTCTTCTAATTTCTATTTTCAAGTTTTCAATTTTGTCGGCTTGTAATAAAGTATTCACATTCCAAGTACCTATTCTTTTTGTTTTTATTTTCGATTTCATGATAAGATCTTCTTGTGCAGTCCCCACCCGGAAATCCGAATAGGGGACTATTTTACTTCCGGAATATTTTGCCTTCGAAGTGTCCATTCATGAATTGCTTTTTCCTGGAGATATCCATTTGGATCTTTAATGCAGTAGTTTCTCTTTGGTCTTCTGCATCCTCATGCCGTTCTTCATGCTTGCTGGTTTATCCGCCTTTGGAGGCAGTTTCCTACCTCCAGCACAAGAGATTGCCCTCCTCTACTCGCTCGTCCGCCCCAAAGGCCGTTGGCGCTTAGTAGAGGTTGCTCCTTTAACTGGGAGTGGTCGGTGTTCCTTTAGTCGCCTTTTAAGACAGGTGGAACCATCCGTGGCCTTATTCTAATCCGAGAACCACACGGTATCTCCTAATTAAAACCGAAAATAACGTCTGACAAATTAGAATATATATGATTCGTCGGATTCACCGGATTTTATTAAAATCGATTTTGTTTTATTTTAGTTTTTTGGAATTCAATTAGAAATAATCGTAGGCGTTTGAAATTTGAAACTTGAGCATCTTTTACACGTGATATAATTTGTAAACATATTTTACGACTTTCTTGAATTATATTTATAGTTATTTGAAATCATCGAGTTTTTCGGTCACGTAGGTTCGTTCGAAAAAGATAGTAAAAACTTAAAATTTCGTCATACAAGTTATTCTTAATTTGTGTAAACGCTTGGAGTAAAAAACCACGAACGATATTGTCAATTATTATTTAGCTGATAAAAATTAACAAAAATTTAAATTTAACAAAAAAAAAAAAAAAAATACGTCAAAACACTAAAGATCGAAATTTGTTCGCAGTGATTTATCCTTTTCGACTTTTTCGATTTGAACTATTTATGTTTTGGCTATTTATAAAATATACATTTTGTTATTGTTTGTCTTCCGCAGCCATCCACAGGCGTCACTCGACAGGCGAGCTCACAACAGAACTTCAATTTAAAATATTCCCCGGATTCGTCGTGAAAATATCGCGTGGTTGGCATGTAATTTGTAGTGCACAGGGGAATAAAATGCTAAACAGGGACAAGGATAGCCGTACGTGAATATCATAAAACCTGCAGGAATCCTATAGAACTGACACACGATAGCAACGCGATCAATACGATTTAAAAAAAAAAAAAAAATGGTAAAATCATGCACTATTCTGTCCGCTAAAGTTATATTTTTATACGACAAGTTATATTTTTTAAAACGTTCCTATATTAATTGTAAAAAAAATGTCTACTGTAGGTGACTATTTTTAGGCCAATTTATGTTTGGGGAGACGGAGCAAACTTATTTCATATTCATAAAAATAGGCATTAAAGTTATAAATATTTTCAATGGAATATTTTCATTTTGCAGAGAGGTTCCTCTCGCTATCATAGATTACGTAGGTATATGACTATTTTTGTTCGAAACATCTTTCGATTTAAAATTTAAATTTGTATCATATTGAGGTCCGGGTGTAACAAGTTAAAAATTATGATCAGGGATGAAAACGGATTGATTACTACAGTGTAAATACTTCCAGTTTCTATAGTGAAAGAAATAACATTTTGATCGTTTTAAAAAAATATTTGACACTTTGTTGTAGGTATAATTTTGTATTACAACAACTTTTTTTTGTTTTTTACGCCAAATACGTGAAAATGTTTCTTCAACTATTTTTATTTACCTAATACCTAATTTGTATTGTCAGCTGTATAAAAAAACGTTATATTTTATACGATCAATGTTGCATAATTTATAATACTTCATTAAAAAAATGTCTAGTTATAAATTAAATAACGTTGCATAATATTATCACGTCAAAGGCTAATAACTCTATTCCCAGTTGCAGTTTTTTAAACACAACTCATTTTTATTATAATTATTTTTTCAAATTTGTTTTTACTACAATACAATCTATAGCAATACGGTCTTATAGTATTTTATTTAGGCCTTGGTAAAGTTTTACGCGAATATGAAATTAATAATTCAAACGAACGTATACCTACCAATAGCGTATTAAAGTTCCCTACCTATATGAGTTAGGTACACACTTACATGGAATCCTCCGATCCGCTATTTGATTGTTTATCATAAAATATTTATAATATTGACATTGAATAATATTATTTATAATATTGTTAATAGGATGCTATTATGTTAAGACGTGTTTTATCACCTTTGGCCCGAACTTGATACTGCTCCGATGAAATTGGTGTCCCAAGGGGTGTAAAAAGTGTAATTCCAAAATTTAGTCGATGAAAAACCACGATTAATTACATAGATAAAACAGGATGAAAAAAGTAAATAAATTGGTTTATAATCGTCGAATTTGTATTATAAGTTATACCAATAATTACTTAAAACGAATAACGTCATATCTAATTAATCTAAGGATTCCATCTGCAATCTGTGACTCGTTTCAAATCCGAAACGTTAATTCGTCTCTAAGCAATCTTTTGATTAATTTCTAAAGACTAACCAAATGTGCTATGATTGTGCGCATTTAAGTGATTTTCAACATTTTTCTGGGAACCCTGGAAAGTCATATGTATTTCAAATGTACCTATTAATAGATGCCTTTTTTTAGTTGACACATTATTGAAATTATATTGGTATTTGGAAGAGTGAGGGTTCAGTCACCCGCGGACTCCTCCCTCTCTATAAATTCGTCTTTGATGGTTCGTCAAAACTATTCCAAAATTAAATTTTAAACGCATAACTATTGTCTTTAGAAGCAAATGAAATACTTTAGAATATAATATTATTTTGGTAAATCAATTAGACTAGGTACGGTTTAATTTAGTATTCAGAGTCGATTTTTGCTTTTTGATTACTAAACTTTTAAATTCGAATCGTTTCTAAAAAGAAACTTTAATTAAATACACGTATTGCCATTGTGCACTTTATTACTTTGTATCTATTATTATGTCTTTTAAATGTATAACCATCACGCATTATTTAATAGGTGAATTAGATGAAAAGTATTTGGTACATTTTAGTATAATCTATAGGTATAGGTACAATATTTGTATACGATTATAATCGCATTACTAAAATAAAGTGTTTAAATATGACAAACAGACAAAATCATCCACATCTAAATTTTATGCGTTTCGAACCGTATGTAATTGTTACTACATTCAAATGTATTCGTAATTTTTATACGGACACTTAATTTAATACAATTATACAATCCCTCTTTATCCAATATAATAACAATTTCGTCAAGTTGTTTTCCTTCGGTTTCGTGGTCGAATAGTCACGGGATAGCCCTGGGCACTACGTGCGGCTAAATCTATCTTCAATTTAACATCACTTAGTTTCATGTCCGTGTGTAAACTGAAATTTCGTACGACGGTAGCTAGAATGACGGTCATGTTCATTGTAGCATATTTCTCCCCTGCAATCGAATATGTTTTATGTATTAGGTAAATCATTATTATTAAGATTTTAAGATTTTCATTATTACCTATACAGCCCCTGGGACCTCCGCTAAAAGGAATAAAACTATATTTATGGCGTTTAGCGATATTTTCTGGGCTAAAGTTATCCGGATTGAAAGACCGATGGTTCGGGTACAATTCCGGACGATGATGCGTATTCATCGGAGCAATAATACACGTCGTCCCTTTCGGTATCATGTAGTTACCGGAAACTATAAAATATAAATTTAGGTAATATTGTTACGTACATAAACCGATTTTAATAAGTATTTAATTACAAATTTGTACGTCGCTTTGAAGTTCTCTGAGGATAACCGGTGCGGGAGGGAACAATCTAAGTGTTTCTCTGAAAACTTGTTTCAAATAAACAAGTTTATTGATGTTGTCAATAGTGCATTCTTCATCACTGTCTCCGAATACGCTATAAATCTCATCATAAACTTTATCCTGAAATTAATTGACAACGATAATAATAGGATAAATAAGCGAAAGCCTAGCAAGCGGAAAAAGGTGCTATTATAACATTAGTAAGTTATTACGAAGCAAAATTATTCTTAAGAAGTTCAACAACTTTATTTTATACAAGTTATCTTAGACCAACAGTTACTTATGGGTGCGAAACATAGTCTACGACAAAAGATATGTAACATATAATATAGCTAGTTTACTAGGACACATGGTCGGTGGACAGAAAGTTGTCAGTTAAACTAATATTCTATATTGGGGATGGTATAGAGGACTGCTTGTAGCAGCTTAGGTTATACAAGGATCTTTAAGCTAAAGAAGAAGAAAAATAATAGAATATTTTATGGTTCACGACTATTTTTTTTCAACTGCAGACATAGAGCCGACATAATATATTATAGTAAATACCATTTTTATTGATTTCTAACATCACGTTAGTTTATTGCCACTTGCATGGAACACAGATTTATTGGCGCAAACAGGTACGTGTGAAAAGATCATCGACGGATCTTTTAAGTCGATTTATTATAGTGGGTAATTGTAATATAAGATAATTTTCTAATAGCCAGTATAATCGCCGTTATAATAAAGGCAATTAAAAATACCTTTTCGTGATTTATTGCATTAAATGTATGCGTGTAATAATATTGTAATACTGACTTGAATATCTTGATGCATGGCTAACAATAAAAGACAAAAACTGACTGTAATCGTAGTAGATTCATAACCCTAAACGTATAATATTAAATAAATTATGGCAAATTCATACAGTTTTAATGTTATCGAAATAATAATTTATCGTACTCACGGTGCTTAAAATAGTAGCGAGCTGATACTTAATATCTTCGTCAGTTAAATTTTCGCCAGCCTCTCTTAGTTCCAATAATATATCCAAGAATACTTTTAAACGTTTTTCTAACCAATAACAAATCGTTTATATTAGGTAATAATAATCAATTATCAGTCTTACTCACTTTTGTTTTCGACGCTATCATTATCATCGTTGACAATAACTGGTTTATCTCCCATTTTTCTCTGTTCTTTTGCTTTTCTAATCATCTATAAACATTTGAAAAATATACCTTAATTTAGTTTGTACCTCATTTCGTAGTTTCTGATATAGGTACGTAGACTGGAAGTGTGTGAAGTTGTTTGAAGACACTCTCGTACCCAGTAAATTTACAGTAAATTGAATAAATGATCTCGGGATATAACCACGGTGAATAAGCCCTCACGGCAACCAATTGCATCGCTCTAAATATTATTACACTCGTAATTTATAATTGATAGTATAGTTCTATTAATTTTATAAGTCAAAATATAGCAAAAAATACTTTAGTACGGATTGTTTCAGATCGGTTCCCTGTTTCGATACGACATCAAGATTGAAACCTATCGTTGTTTCTATGTAAAAAAAAAATTTTTTGAAATGGCTTATAAAATACTCATTTAATTACTTAAATATAATATAATTACGGGTAAGTGTACTGAACACTGCGTCGGATATGTATTCCAACATATTGAAAGGTTGTGTGTTACCCACTTCTTTATTCAGGTTTTTTATAAGTATGTCGGTTTTCTCCTTAACAGTCGGGAAAAACAATTTCTTCATATTGTCCGAGCAAAACGCGGGGGTTAACATACGGCGTTGTTTTTTCCATTTCTCCACTATAATTATTTTATAATAATAATAAAAAAAATACTTCTAAATAATTTGTAAATTTTTTTTAAAAATGTTTAAACTACACTGAATCTCGAAGCAAATCTTAATATTAACCTGGAGCCGTGACCAATCCTTCGCCTACACCGACCTTTAAACACTTGTACATATAAGCTTTTTCCAGGGCGTTGGGACTGGTTAAAATGGCCTGTAACGAATGCAACAATTATTCTCATTAAATCTAATATTCGTATTTGTAATCATTTTGTTCGATTTTAATGAATCTGATACAATATTATAATATCAAATCAATGTGTGAGTATAGTAGCAAGAATAATATTAATTATCATAAAATCGTATTGGTAATTGATTTAAATATTATTGTTCATATCGATAAATTAAATAACATGTTAAACTATTATAATAATTAATACTTGAATATCTTCTGGCTTTGTAAGGATGACGGCTAGAGAACAACCGAACCATATTTTAAACGGTTCCGGACCGTACGTTTCACATATTTCTGTTAAATGTTTGGTGAGCTCTAAAATCCCAAAAAAAGAAAAAACACGTACGCTATATTATACACAATATATTTACATTCTTTACAGTACCTGTACTAAATGTTATTTATTCGGCTTACCTTTTGGCGTGCGGATAAATTCAAGCAGTGAACCGATAATTGGGTAGGCTGGAGGGCCTGATATTTTCGCAGCGAATTTTTCATATCGTATGGTGTTCAATTTTATTTTAATCAACAGCACTAAAACCAAAAATATTACCGCGTAGAAAATTAACTGGGTTCCCGTCACTCGAAACTTGACTGTTGAATATAATATTTCAGAGTATACGTCTTGTGACGTCTCCATCATAAAAACAACAACAATATATACGAATAGTAGGCACTATATTTAAAATAATATGTATCTCAATATTTATATTATGCTTTTTTTTTTTTTTTTTAATAAACCTACCATTCATTCGACCTGTCACACACACGAACTTAGGTCGTGGCTGTGAATACATTAGTTACATTATGAATTAGGTATGATATTGCATTAAATCGCATTCCAAAAAAACTTTTATTGACTCGATTGTAGTTATGCTTAATTTGGTGGAGCCAAAAATAGTTATTTTAAAATCTTGCAAAAAATTCAAAATATTATGTTACGAATGATTTAAAAAAAAAAAAAAAAAAACACAAGGAGGGTTAACAAATAATAATTATACGGTTTTGAATATTCTACCAGCTAGAATATTGTACAAGAAAATCGTAATTGTATTTATAATTAGTAAATGTATTAAGATAAAAACTAACAAATTTGACTTTATTCGCGTAAAAGGTTTTAGGACTTTACAGATATTTCTGTAAAGTATACTAGAAAATCTTTTAGAATGAATCTTTTAAAATTTAGATGATTATCTAAGTCCAAACTATTTTAAACAACTATTTACAAGAAAAACATTAAATGTGGGGTATCAAACGGAAAGAAAGTAGTTAATAAATGGCTATTCTCAGAAATATAAAGTTCAATGTTAAACTCAGTATTTTGATTTTATTTGTAACTTTGACTTTGATTTTAATTTAAATTTCAGTGTAATATTAAATGTATGTAAAATGTTTTAATTTAATTATGTTATCTTAATTTTGATTTTGATGAAGAATATTTTCTAATTTGTATGTTTAAAATTATCAATTAAGTATAAATATCTTTATGTTAACTTTTACCTAATATTTTGTAATTTGTATGATAACTCTCTATTCCAACACAAGTTTAGACTTACAGGAGTAGTATATTTATATTATATATATATATATTAAGCGTTTTGTTTATGTAATTGTGTACCTACTATACAATTTCAATAAAAAAAAAGCTGTCTTAAGATAATGGAGATAGGTGCAGCCACTGTTATAGGTAATTTAATGTATACCTGTAAGCAACGATAAACTATTGCTAACGAAAGAACGATTCTGAACGGAGTTTACTTGATAGTGATGCTTTGTCAATAATATGTATGTCATATTATGGTAAAATAATTAAATAGACATTTTATATTTTCTTTAATAATATTTATTTAATATTGTACCGATTTTCTCTTTTTCTTACACTATTCTTGGTTTTCCCATGCTTTTTCCAGTTTTTCTCATTTACGAGGAAAACTCTTGGGAAAATCAAAAAATGACCTCCTTGAAGTACCTTCCCACACCGATTTCCTTTCAGAAAAGGTACTGCACTAAAAATCGGAGCATGATTTTTGGTAGAAAAGTTGCATATAGATAAAAAAAAATAAACATCTTTGTAAAATCATAAGCTTCTTCGCTCCATTCAGAAACTAACAAAAAAAAAAAATGACTAGGACTATATTTAGATACTATACAAATACTACAAATCCAAATAAATAGTAGTACCATCGAAATACGAGACAACCATTATACTAAAATGTTGACCGATACGGTTTGGATATAATTTACAATAGCTACAAGGTATACAAATATACCATATTGATCAGTCTGTGTTGGGAGTTCGTTTTGCGAATCGTAATATGATATTCATCTAATTTTACCATATGTTAATGGTTGAAAAAAAGAACCAAAACCTTCATTTTACACTTTTTTTTTTTCTTCATCACGAAAAATATAAATGAGAATCATTTAAAATTAAGTGCGATTTGAAGTGTCACTAATTTCTAAAGATAATAATAATTAATAACGAAAAAAAAAGCACTAACATGCATTTCGTAGAATCGTAAATAGATTCTTCAACAATCACCAATCAATTTACTTTTAAACGTTTTTGACAATATCCATAAGGTCTTGGGGGTAATGTTATATTATTGGCTTACTAATGTTAACTCTATTCAATAATTTAATATTATAAAGGTGAAAGTTTGTTTCGATGGATGCATGGGTAGATATTTGTTACCCCTTTATGCCAAAACTACTGAACGGGTTGAATTGAAACTCTTCATAGATGTAGTTCTAGACCTGAAAATAATATATATTGGAATACTTCTTTTCCACCGAATTTAGTTCATAAAATAGGACTGTTGACACAGAGTAATTGGTATTTTTGGTACGAAAATACAATTATTTTTGTTGATTTCTGGATTACTTTAGTAAAACGGAGGTAATACAAAAAAAAAGTTAAAACAAACAAAACAAAATAATAATATTTTTCGAGCAACCAACAGTTATAGTTGGATTGAATTTTATTTATATTACCCGTGACATATAGCTATTGTTTTTTACGTTTTAGTTATTTAAAAATAATTTATAATAATAATTTATGATTAATAGCGATATACTTCCGGTTTATACAGTGAGCATAATAATAATTATCGCTTAAAAAATATATATCCGACACTTCATTGTTGCTCGTTTTGTATTATAACACATTTTCCTTTTATCCCAGATATACGAAAAATGTTTGCGTATCGTTTTATATTTGATAATTATTTATATAACAATATAGTCCAGAGGTTCCCAAAGTATGAGTCGTGACCCAAAAAATGGGTCACGTTATATTTTTAAATAATACATTTTTTAGATACTGAGTGGAGTGAGGAATATAATGGTTTTACAATGATGTTTATTTATTTATAATTTTTTTCTATTCATAAACAACTTTTCTACCGGAAATCTTGCTCCAATTTACAAGCGTAGCACTTTTTCTGAAAGGAAATCGATCTGAAGAGGTACTTTAGAAAGGTCATTTTTTGATTTACCAAAGAATTTTCTCAATATTTTGTAAAAACAGGAAAACAACTGACGAAAAATAGGAAAATGTATGAAATATAGATATTAGTTTAAATAAAAAAATATTACGGCTTTTTTTTACCTGTGAACAACCTGTGGTAATGCGCAACGCTCAAATTTTAATAAAAATATTATCCGCATATAATAAGCGTTAGATTTTTTGATTTATGTGAATGCAACGTGCCCAACGCATGAATAGGACTTGGAGGAAAAATGTTTGAAATAAATCAAACTCCAACTTGAGTTTATAACTAATTAATATTTTCCACGCAAGACACTACAAGTCCAATAAATAAATTCACAAAAATAATACAAGTCCAAATAATTCAATTCACAAACATCGAAAAATATTCCGAGTCCAATTTAATTTCACACACAAAAATATTACGAGTCTAAAAATATTGTTGCAAGTGTGTCATATGCCCGTCGCTCATTCCTCTCTCTACTACCATATCGATGCGCCACTGTTTATATTATTCGGCGAAATTCGCGCACGAGCCGACAATGCTGAGCCGGGAACATGAAAATCGTATACTATACAATTAAAAATATACAGAATCGGTTGGCCTTTGTCATAAAACGGTATTCGTCGGCGAGCGTGTAACTTTCCGCGAACACAGACGGTACAAAAGTGTAGATCAGGAATAAAACGACTGCATAAAATTATATGTGTTCTGTAATTTGTGAGTGACCGACCGGCGTTTCTCATTAATAATATTAATCGCTATAATACTTTGGCACGCTGATCAAATTAAGCAGCGACAGTGCGGGTCGAGTATTGGCGCGAGGGATGCGGATGTAGGGAACAGAACGCGCGATTCGGAATTAGAAATTTCCGCCCCAAAACGTATTTAAACTAATTTTTTTCTATTTATCTATATATTTTTTTTAATAGAGGTTGTTATTTGAAATCAAAATTTAGTAGTGGTTAAAAGCCCTACATATAAAGGTAGACAAAATAAGAACAATGTACAATTTTAGACCAAAAAATTCCAAAACTAAAAACGTTTTTATAAAAGTCTTGTTTTGAAAAACGTAACAATTGCATGGATTATTTGACGGTAACTAATACATTGATGTAAACATAATATAAAATTAAAAAACATACGTTACGTTTTGTTTATGCACTAAATTCTTTTATTAAATTTTTGAGTGTGTTTTCGGAGCCAAAATAGTTTTAATCACATAAAACAAAAAAAAAAACATAAACCAAAAAAAAAAAAAATGACAAATACCTAACTATAATAAATCGAAAACCGCCAGACTACCCTGAAAATTGTATTGCGTATAGAAAGTGATAAAATAATAATTAAAAAAGAAATACCTTCTTTTGATTTTCATAAGGCATCCTATATTAAAATATCCATAGATAGATAGATGGAGTATTAGTCAAAATAAATATGAGTGTTAACATTTTTGATTTCTGTCATGCCGTTGACGAGGTAATGGTTTTACCCCCAAAAATAAGGATGACAAAAATAACATAAATATACAATAAAATATTATTGTTTAAAACAGATTTATATCCGACACTTTATAGTTGGTCGTTTTGTATGATAACATTTTCCTTTCATCCCATATACGAAAAATGTTTGCGTAAAATTTTGTTATTTGATAACTTGTATAATAAATAGTCAGCTGCGTAAAAAATCGTTTTATTTTATACGATCAATGCTGCATATTTTATAATTGATTAAAAATGTCTAGTTTTAATTAAACATCGTTGTATACTATTAGTACGTTATAGGCTAATAATTCTATTGCCGCTTGCAGTTTATTAAAAAATATAATAAAAAACTCATTATTATTATTATTTTTTGTTATTTTAATATGCGATACGGTCTTAGAGTGTTTTATTATAGTTGCAGTAAGTGTTTATGCCACGCGAATATAAAAATAATACAGCTAGCCTTTTAACCTTTTTAACCTTTACAATTGTCTGTTAGTGGTTGGCGAGTAAAGGTAGATAGTAAGGTAAGTAGGTAGGTCAGACAACCCACCTCCTTCCAGTCGCTTTTTCTTCACCCGTCGAGATGGAACCACACCTCGTCGGAATCGCCTCACTCATTTGGCTCCCACATTAGCAGCCATCAAACGAACCACCACCTTTCAATTTTCCGGATTTCCCTTCATTAAG